AAGCAAGGAAGTCGCAGACTGATGCAAAGATCCATGTCACAAGTTGCTGCTCCAGTAAGTCCACGAGTCGGGGATGCCGGCCAATGAAACAGCATGGTGGCCAAACCAGCTGCATAATCTCCATGAACAGTGAGGCAGCAGGCCATCGTCCGGACTACCTCCGTCGAGTGCCTCATCCGTCTTTTCTCCAGAGAAGGTAGGAGGTGGTTTCAGTGGAGTCTTGGGGTACCAAGGTTGCTGTGGTTCCATCTGTGGGACCACTCCATAGCTGCAGCAGCTGGACCTGAGGATGAAGAAGCAGCAGTCTGTGCTGCTGCTGCTGCCGTACCACTTGGTGGGATGCCAAACTGACGGACAAATGGGCCTGTCATCGCCGGCAATGGAGGAGGTGATGGAAAAGTTGTCGCTGGCCTGATACTAGGCCCGCCTATTGTGGAAGGGACTATTGTTCCCTTCCCCTGCATGGCACTCAGTATCTGGTCAAGGGTATCCTGGATATCATCCAGTTTGCTATCCATGTAAGCGTACATGCTCAGCATACCCGCCTTGAGGATCTTTCTCGTGTCGTCAAGGTTCGAGTCATCTAACCCTTCTAATGCAGCTTTGTCTACCCTTCTGTTCTCTAGCCTGGCTTTCCTACTTCTAATCTCTATTTCTCTTTCGGTAGCTTCTCTAAGTCCCTTGTCTAACTGTAAGCGGATCAACTCCACACAGTCTTGGTCTCAGGCAAGCATGAGACACATGTACATCGGCGATAGGTCCCATACCGGCTTGGAAAACACAGCAAATCACCGCAGACCATGCTCAGAGTCGGAATGCTCAGGAAAAAACCGAAACCAAAAGAACCGCATTTTCTCAGATATTGCAGGAATCTAAGACAGCGATTTGTGTGGGCCACGACATTAGCATGTATCCTTGTCTCTCTAAATGTGGACCTGCTTCCCTGTGCCATTTCTTTTTAATTTCAACCCCTATAACCTCCACACCCATATCCCAGGTGGTATACACCCTCCATGTAACAGTGGAACTAGGTTTGCCAGCGGGCCATGAAAACCTGCTGGGTGCAAGAATTGATGCATAACAAATATTAACAATTGCAGGATCCTTCTTGACAAGGAGCTCACCAGTGGGGATTGTATGTTGTTTGGCATGCGTTGCCTTCTCACAACACATTCCTTACCAAGTATAACCATAAATGTCGCATGCTTCATTCAGGGTAATCCTGGCATAAGTATGCCTGCTGTGAACAATGTTCGCGACTTAAGTTGTGAATGTCTGGATTGTGCATGGACAGGTTTTGTCATCTGGACTGCTTTGATGAAGTCCGACTGCAAGTCTGTTGCTATGCCCTTACGGAGATTTGTTCTGAGAGTTTATCAGGTGATGGATGGCTTTGTGAGATTTTATTAAGTGATGGACGACTGAACTGGGCTCCTGTTTGCTTTGTTGTCCTGTTTCTATTAATGAAGTATTACTATGAGCCAGGTACCAACCATAGGTTCAGATCAAGAGTAGAGATTTATTGGTACCAGCAAACTGGTGAGTTGCCTGGAAAGAGGATGGGTGTTCCATGGGCGAGGCGGCTATGTAGGCTTTCCAATCAGGCAAAGTCATCTCGAGCTCATCTTATATGCGGTACACCGAGCAGAGCATGGAAATCAAAGGTGGTACCTATGAGAAAACGGCGTACTCAAAGAACCCGTGCATGGGCTTGTGGGAGGCCTCTGAGGCTGAGCCTGCTGCTAGGGCTTGAAGAGGGCACAGAGAAGAATGATGGCATGGAGATGGGGACAAATGCTGCTGGACAGGGGAAGACTTTCTTGGATTCTCCTTCTATGAAAAGAGAGCCATCCTGGGAACTGTGCCCAAAGAATGACTGTGGCTGTACACCAGTGGAGGGAGGCAACCCGTGGACCGGAGGTGACGAGACTTCCAAGTATCTGTGCCAATTCATAGCCCTCCAAGAGCGAGTGAAGATTCTGAGGAAGACACTCTGCCAACTGAATGAAGGTCTCTCTCTATTCCGAAGTGCTCGCAGAGAAAAACGAAATGAATGGAAGCAGTATTACAAAAAATGGGGTTCCCGCTGTACCTTGATGTTATGAAGTATTGTCATTCAGAAGGAAATAACATGTCTTCCATCTTATGTCTCTTGCAGTATTGTTGGCCAGTAATGCCAGCGTATACACCTTGTTTGCTCTTGAGCGTTATGGTAGCAGTAGCTGCATCTGTCCCAAGAATGTTAGCTGCTTGGCACACACCCAATTCAACCTTGTTACAACGTCGAAGGAAACGTCCTTTTAACCACCACTACCTCCGCCCCTCTTTTTGCCGACCCTGATTTTACCTGCGCGACAAGTTTTCCGAGCCTGGAATTTTCGTGAAACGGTGAAACCGTTCTGATTTTTTTTTTCTTCTGGTACCAATAAGAAAAAGATATTGTTGCGGCTGCAAGATTCGCGAAAGAAGAAAAAAAAGAAACAAAGCTTTGCCACTGAGACCGGGTAGATACGTTCTCTGAAGTTCTTGTGTGAGTATGCCCACAGTGAGGGCGTTTCCAGCAGAGCGTGGATTACGTCTGCCTTGCTGTCAGGGAAGTAAGAATGAAAAGAAAAGGAAAGAAAGAAACAGTGAGGGCGTTTCCAGCAGAGCGTGGATTACGTCTGCCTTGCTGTTTGGGAAGTAAGAATGAAAAGAAAAGGAAAGAAGGAAAAAACAATAACACAGATTTAGAGTGGTCAGATACACTGCAAAGTACTACCATCTTCACCCGAAAATAACGCCCGGGTGTTATATTCAAATTCTGGTTACTTAGTACTTACCCTTAAAAAAACAGATTTTTCAATTTTGTTATTACTCACTTTTAGAACGCCCCTTCGAACCTAATGCCTGGGCGTTATATGGACTTATATCCGAATAGAATGCCCGGGCGCCAGGCATGATCACCGGGCAGGGTTTCGGGCAGCCCCAGCGCCAAAAGAAAAAAAAATCAAAAAAATTTGGAAAAAGAAAATGTTCTGTAGATTTGCAATACAAACGACTTTTGGCTGAGGGTCACATTAGAATTCAGTGGTTAGAGCAACGGTTGGAAATGCGCATTGTGGTATAAGGTTGCGGGTTCATAACCCCGCAGCCTTGCGCATGGACACCAGCAGGGCGTTAGACTGACGCACGGCTGGACACACATCCCCTTGGGCTGATGCATGGTACTATTACAGACACTGCCTGCGCACCACCCGAGGGTAGTCCACGGTGTTGTATGTTGGTTGTGGGTTTCACAGGGTTTGCTTGGGGTGTTGGTCTCGGGTGTTCTGATGTTCTCCCCAGTCTGGCATATCACACGCTCATTCCATTTCCGGTAGTTGCTCATACGGTAGAGTCTTGGATTACATGTTACAAAGGTCACGGGTTCAAGCTTGGTTCGGTCCTTGGGGGGGTCCTTGTCCAGCTGGTCCCGTTCTCTCCTCGATACATGATTCACGGAGTACACATAGCTTTCGGGCATACACAGATAGCTTGCGAATCATATATCGCTCACAGGTTACATTCACAAGTTTCCACACATGATACTGTCTACACAGATTCACAGAATATATACACAAAAAACAGGCTGGGGAGCTAGTCACTGGTGGGGTCTAGTGCCTGCAGTAGGTTCAGGTAGATTGGATAGGGTGCCATTGGGTGCAGTTCCTACTGACATTCGGATAGAACTGTCTGGTGGCTATGTATATATGGGGCCTGTAGTTAATTGTCTGGGCCTGGCGTCCGAAGTTCCCGTTCGACAAGGTTTGTCCGATTCCGCTTCCACCAGGGCTGGACAATCTATCAGCCCTGGTGCCTATCACTGCTGTTCTGTCCAAGTTGCCTGCCCGTTGGTAGGGCAATGGTCCTGAGTGCTGGTCACACAGGTACAATAGTGGGATAGGGGGTGCGCTAGGAGTATTGACGTGAGAATGTGTTGGGAGGTGGTCTCATATTCCAGGACACCCGTGGCTCACAGTTCCAGGTGATCACTGTGCACACACTGACTGGCCTCACAGAATCGGACATACAAAAGAATATAGCAGAATCACACTAAGGCACCCCTCTTTAAATGCCTTTAGCCCTTTCAAAACCAATTTATACCCCCCTCCCCCCCCTTGACAGCCAACTCACAAAAAATGAATTGAGCCTGGATTTGGGGTCCTCTGGGAGAGCACACAAAACCCTTTTTTTTTTCTTTTTTTTTTTTTTGCACCCCCGGGTATCGCGGGCGACACGCCCGGGTGCCTGGCCTGGCAGGACCGGCCGGGCGTGAGAATCTTCCTAGGTTGAAAGGGGTTTTGAGCTCGAAGGGGTATGTTTTGGTTTGGGTTTTTGTTTTCTTTTTTTATTTCCGAATCTATAAGGAATTCTGAAGTGACCCTCGACCAAAAGTTGGTTGTGGGATACATAAAGATACATGGGTCCTGGGGACCATCCCACGCAGGTGTGTACATGCCATGCATCGTACTCCCACACACAATGAACAGTAGTCTGACAATAGACAAAGATAGAGAAGATGAGGACCGAGTTTCACAGTTTATATTATCAGAAATATGAATACAAAGTGTTTCAAAGTTCCCCTGAGTCCAGCGCTCATCAGCGCAACACCAATATCTTGCCAACTCATCAATATGCCTTCCAGTGAATCAGTGCTACCCCTGTAGATAGTCTCCAAGTCATCAATGTGGTCACCACTCATCAGCGCCACCTCTGCAGGTCAC